TTTCCTGATGAGTCTTGTCAATGGGTCAGAAATTAATGAGAAATCTTTAATGAATTTTCTATAATAGGAACACATTCCTAGGAATAATTGTACTTCTTTGATCTTCTTGGGCTGAGGAAAATCCCTAACGGCTTCGATATTATATTCGGCCGGTTTTATACCCTGTTGGTTGGTTATATGACCAAGGATCTCAAGTTCTTCAAAAGCAAATCTGCATTTCTTGTCGTTCAGTTTCAAATTAGATTCACTAAAACATTTTAAGACAGCTTCAAGTCTTTTAAGGTGGGTTGGAAAGTCTGAGATGTATATAATAACGTCGTCCAGATAACAAAGGCAAATCTGCCATCTTAGATCTCCAAGCACATTGTCCATATTCCTCTCGAAAGTAGCAGGGGCGTTGCATAGTCCAAATTGCATGACGTTGAATTAATATAATCCGTGGGTCGTAGTGAAAGCTGTCTTCTCCTTGTCTTTCTCTTCAATTTCGACTTGCCAATATCCCGATCTAAGGTCTATTGCTGAGAAGTACTTCCTTCCTTGGAGAGTATCCATTACGTCATCAATTCTTGGGATTGGATAAAAATCCTTTACTGTTTCCACATTCAATTTTCTATAGTCTACACAAAATCTGAACTTACCATCTCTCTACTTGACCAGTATTACAGGGAAAGACCAGGGACTTGAAGATGGTCTAATAATGCCTTCTTTGATCATTTAATCAATTTGATCTTTTATAATGTCCCGCTCTTTGGGGCTCACCCTATATGGCTTGTGCTTTGTCGGTTTTGCATCTTCTGTATCGATCCGGTGTTTTGTCAAATTGGTCCTGCCTAACCTCGGCGAAAACTAATCAGCATACTTAACCAAAATTTGTTTCAACTCCTCTTGTTCTTTAAGTGATAGATTTTTGTTTATCTGAAATTGGATTTCGTCATTATTGATTTGCTCTAACTTCTCTATGAACTTTACCTCTGCAGGAAGGCTTTCATAAGCCAATGTTTGGTCTTTCATGATTTTTAAAGGTCGAGGATAAGGGTTCGTTATCCAGATATGAGTTTTCCTATTCGTGACAGTAAGCAAACTTCTTGCCAATCGAAGGCCATTTGTTTGAATCATTCTGTTGTTCAACTCCGCCTTTTAGAATAATAGTAGAGTAATTCTTCCTGGAATGAACTTATACGATAATAACAAGGCGAAGGAAGACGAGTATCTTTATTGGTGCATAAGAGCGAGCTTTCGGGCAAAAGCCCTTCGACTGGCAAAATATAACGACACTATGTCGTTATATTTTGCCAGTCGAAGGGCTTTTGCCCGAAAGCTCGCTCTTATGCACCAATAAAGATACTCGTCTTCCTTCGCCTTGTTATTATCGTATAACTCCGCCTTTGCCGGTCCCAAGCCCGGATGAAAAAGGAGGAGGGGGAGCAGTAACAAGCTCGCTTAAAAACCTGGGCTCAGCTGGCCCGGCTGATAGTACCCTGTAAGGGCTCCTAATCCAGATATACAGGATGAGCAGCGTTTGTACTCCATGTTAGGAGCAGCTGCACATGGCGTCTGTTCCTCATGTCAGAGGCGGCCATTTCTTTTGGAGCTAAGTCGGCCTGCCACTGAGTAGTGCTCCCAGTCTTGATGACAAAGGCAGACGCATTCTACTTCACCCAATCATGATGGTTGTCATGCTTTACAAGCTTGATACCTTGATATGATTAAGTGAAGATAAGAAAGAAGAAGAAGAAGATTCTGTTGTTCTCTTCGATGACATATTCGCCATCCTCTGCTTCTATTGAGGCCTTAATTAATCTAATGGACAGTTCAGGTATAACAGTATCTTCAACGCTTTTTATTTTTTTTTCAGTTCATAATTGCTTATGTCATGATTATTCGTCAGATCGTATTTTATTATTATTTCTTTTTTTTGCAATCTATTTACGCGTTCATTTTCTTAAGGAAATCTCTTCCCAAAATTAATGTCCGTAAATGCGTTTTCAAAATCACAAATTTGTGCGATAATGCTTTGTCATCAATTTTTATATTTAACAATATACTTCCTACTATGTCTATTTTTTTCCATCGGGTCCTGCACAAGTTTTTGCGAGTTTACTTATACCATGGCCTGTATCGAGGGCCGTTCTGAGGTCGACCACTGAGAGGTCAGCGCCTGTATCAACCAAAGCTTCAAAAGTTCCTATCTTGTCCACATGAATTTTTAATTTGTATTTAGGGTCCAACTTTTTGATTCCATTTATGGTCGAACTTGCTTTGATTGACATATTCAGGCGCGACGCTTAGTTTAAATCTTCCAACACGGAATATCTATTCCGGGTAGGAATATTTGTCTGTGTGCTATGACGTACATCAGCATAAAGCCGAGGTCCTGATTTATCTGATATTTCATTCATTTGGCATTTCTCTTCGTTCTTCTCTTGGGTAGCTGTTGGATCCTCTTCTAGGATTCTTATAAACTTGACCCTACAATAACGGGCCACGTGCCCTGGCTTGTTACACTTGAAGCAGATTGGTGTTCCATCTTTCGTCCTATTTTTGCTCACTTCTTGACTTTTATTGTAGGTGTTTCTCTGAAGGTTTGGTTCCGGCACATAGTTAGGATTATAAGGACGTCTCGGGGTAAAGGGCTGGGTCAAGTTGTTTCGATACTGCCTGGGAGTAGGAGGGAAGTCGTTCTTGTAATTATTGGAAACAGGGGCTTGGGGCCTGATAATGGTCTGGTAGTTTCGTGTGGCAGTCGGCGGCACGTACCTCGATTGTTGTTGGGGTCTAGAATAGTGTGGACCGTTATATAGGTTTCTGGATTTCTCCACACGTTCCCGATACTTCTTTTCAAAAGAATCCATTTTCTTGCACACGACAAGAAGTTCATCGGTCGTTTTAGGAGGGTTCAGGTAGAGCGCGAATGAGTATTTTTTTTTTTCAGTCCTCCAATAACATGATCGATTTTTGTTTCTTCTTCCATTGCGGGGTCAACCTTGTTGCACAACACTAGGATGTCTTCCGCGAACCTGATTGCTGGTTCATTCCAGTGTTGCATTCTGTTGAGCTTCATTCTAAGTTATTCTTAATTCGCGTCCAGGGAAAAATCCTGAATGAGGCGGATTTTAATATTTTCCCAGCTCGTGAAACTCGCTTTGTGTAAATTCAACCAGGTTTTAGCGCTTTCCGTCATGTTCATGGCGGCATAACGGGCAATTATGTAGTCTGCCCAATGATAGAGGAAACCAATCTCTTTGAGGGATTCTATCCATGGGTGAGGGTCTTCTGTCCCGCCATATTTAGGAATTTCTATATTGGGGTTCAAAGCAACTGGTTCGAAACCAGCATCTATACCAATTGTTGCACCAAGTTGCAGCTTTGCAGGGTCGTCGACCTTGGTTTCTTCCTTCTTGGTGTTATACACCTTTCCCGAACGGGTTTCCATATTCAAATCAAATAAATAAAAGTGAATAAATATAAAATTAAATAAAAATAAATTACCTTTTCAAGTTATTGTGTTTATTTATTCTTGTCTTCCTCCTCCGTTGCGATCCGCAGTCTTCCAATAAGCAATTATAATATACTAGACGAATGGCCCGGGCAACGCCCGGGTTTTACCCGAGTGCGTATATATTTTTAAAACGTTTTAATTCAAATACTATTCGTTACAATTATAAATTGGCGCCATGGATGTCACTCTTGTGAAACGTCCCGTTCCAAACAGAATAGAAATTCGGCAAAGCCAGGGACGATATAGGCAACAAAAGCCCTTGCATCCCCGTTCCAAACAGTGTGTTTTAAAAATGTTTTAATTAAAATACTATTCGTTACAATTATAAATTGGCGCCGTGGATGTCTCTCTTGTGAAACGTCCCGCCCCAAACTGTGTGTGTCTTGAAAATATAAAAATAAAAATGTGAATTTTCATAAAGATTTCATCATGTCGATTTTTTTTTTGCATTTCACCTACTAAATCGATAGAGATAATTAGATTTGCAACATGAACTTAGGTATATTGACTAAATAGAAAAGTGCATAGTAATAAAGATCATTTTTTAAAGGCACCATATCGTTTTTTTTTTTCAATAAAATCGAAACAAAAAAAAATCACAAAAAAATGACCCTATAACTTTCCGTAAGGTTCTAAATGGTCACACGGCCAGTGAATATATAAGTTAATAGATAAATATATAGATATATATTCTAAACTGCGGTAAAAGTTTTTTGAATGAACCCATATCATAAATATGCATTGGAAATAACAATTAAAAATTACTAAAGCAATTTTTAATTGTTATTTTCATTGCATATGTAGCCTAGTGGTCATGGCATCTGCCCGGTAAGCGGAAGGTCCCTTGACACTTTTTTTATTTTATCCATTCTGACTAAAATCTATCCGTGAACTTCACACAGTGAACTTCACACAGACAGAATAAGGCAAGTATATAAATAGATACAGTTATCAGCGTCATGCATTCTTTCTTAATTCTGTCACCGTTTGCTTTTGGTTCAGTGGTAGAATGCGCGCCTACCACGCGGGCACCCCGGGTTCGATTCTCGGCCGATGCATTTTTTTTTTACAATTTTTAAAACTCATTTATATTATTTAAAAAATAGACTATACAAGAAGTATACAATAAACTATACAAGAAGTATACAATAAACCATACAAGAAGTATACAATGAACTATACAAGAAGTATACAATAAACTATACAAGAAGTATACAAAAAATATACAAGAAGTATACAATAAACTATACAAGAAGTATACAATAAACTATACAAAAGGTATACAAGAAACTATACAAGAAGTATACAATAAACTATACAAGAAGTATACAATAAACTATACAAGAAGTAAACAATAGACTATACAAGAAGTATACAATAAACTATACAAGAAGTATACAATAAACTATAAAAGAAGTAAACAATAAACTATACAAGAAGTATACAATTAATATATACAGTTATCAGCGTCATGCATTCTTTCTTAATTCTGTCACCGTTTGCTTTTGGTTCAGTGGTAGAATGCTCGCCTACCACGCAGGCACCCCGGGTTCGATTCTCGGGCGATGCATTTTTTTTTTACAATTTTTAAAACTCATTTATATTATTTAAAAAATAGACTATACAAGAAGTATACAATAAACTATACAAGAAGTATACAATAAACCATACAAGAAGTATACAATGAACTATACAAGAAGTATACAATAAACTATACAAGAAGTATACAAAAAATATACAAGAAGTATACAATAAACTATACAAGGGGTATACAATAAACTATACAAAAGGTATACAAGAAACTATACAAGAAGTATACAATAAACTATACAAGAAGTATACAATAAATTATACAAGAAGTATACAATAAACTATACAAGCAGTATACAATAAACTATACAAGAAGTATACAATAAACTATACAAAAGGTATACAAGAAACTATACAAGAAGTATACAATAAACTATACAAGAAGTATACAATAAACTATACAAGAAGTAAACAATAGACTATACAAGAAGTATACAATAAACTATACAAGAAGTATACAATAAACTATACAAGAAGTATACAATAAACTATACAAAAGGTATACAAGAAACTATACAAGAAGTATACAATAAACTATACAAGAAGTATACAATAAACTATACAAGAAGTAAACAATAGACTATACAAGAAGTATACAATAAACTATACAAGAAGTATACAATAAACTATACAAGAAGTAAACAATAGACTATACAAGAAGTATACAATTAATATATACAGTTATCAGCGCCATGCACAAATCTTTCTTAATTCTGTCACCGTTTGCTTTTGGTTCAGTGGTAGAATGCTCGCCTGCCACGCCGGGTTCGATTCCCGGCCGATGCATTTTTTTTTTTACAATTTTAAAAATAATTTATATTATTGAAATATATGTGCTTTTCCTGTCTATGTACAGATTTATGGTCTATGTACACGAGTATACAAGTATGTATACAAGTTATTTGCAAATTGCATGGTAAATTTGCCCTTTCGCTCGCAAGCAGTGCCTCTAGCGGTGAAGATGGGAGGTAATATCAGCTGACCTAATGGACATGTAAAACGTGTTTTAACAGGACATAGAGAAAATTCTGGAAAATATATTTTTCGGATTTTTAGTCAAGAAAATTAAATTGACAGGTTCTGGGAAAAAAGTAGTTTTTTATTCAGAAAATGATGATGATAATATTGCGGTATCATATTTGATTATCAGATACAAAATTATATCCGGAAAAATTCCAAAAAGCAGAGACCACGGGTGAAGCCATTTCATTTTTAGTATGCAGGAACAAAATTCTAACAGAAAAACATTCATTCGAGCAGAAGACACAAAGCCAGATCATCTCTTTATAAAAATATCGCTTCTCAGACACAAAGTTTGGAGCGGGGACGTTTCACAAGAATGACATCCACGGCTCCAATTCATAATTGCAACGAATAGTTTTTGAATAAAAGCATTTAATTGGGTAAAACCCGGGCATTGCCCTTTCTTAATCAATTCTGTCACCGTTTGCTTTTGTGAATGGAATAAATACCCAAATATGGCCATTTCTCATAACCATCGGTGGTTCAGTGGTAGAATGCTCGCCTGCCACGCGGGCGGCCCAGGTTCGATTCCCGGCCGATGCATTTTTTTTTTTTACAATTTTTAAAACTCATTTATATATTACTAGACGAATGGCCCGGGCAACGCCCGGGGTTTACCCGAGTGCGAATATATTTTAAAAACGTTGTCTTGGGTGGTCGCTATTGACAGGGTGGTCTGTATAGACAGGTGGATGTATCACACAGCTGATAACAGGGTTGTCTAGAGTGATCGCTATAGACAGGGTAGTCTGTATAGACAGGTGGATGTATCACACTGCTGATAACAGGGTTGCTAAGGTGACCGCTATAGACAGGGTGGTCTGTATAGACAGGTGAATGTAACACACTGATGATAACAGGGTTGCCTAAGGTGACCGCAGAAGACAGGGTGGTCTGTATAGACAGGCAGCTGATAACAGGGTTGTCTAGAGTGGTCGCTATAGTCAGGGTGGTCTGTATAGACAGGTGTATGTATCACACTGCTGTTAACAGGGTTGCCTAGAGTGACCGCTATAGAAAGGGTGGTCTGTATAGACAGGTGTATGTAACACACTGATGATAACAGGGTTGTCTAGAGTGGCCGCTATAGACAGGTGTATGTATCACACAGCAGATAACAGGGTTGTCTAGAATGGCCGCTATATACAGGGTGGTCTGTATAGACAGGTGGATGTATCACACAGTTGATAACAGGGTTGCCTAGAGTGACCGCTATAGACAGGGTGGTCTGTATAGACAGGTGGATGTATCACAGAGCTGATAACAGGGTTGTCTAGAGTGGTCGCTATAGACAGGGTGGTCTGTATAGACAGGTGGATGTATCACACTGCTGATAACAGGGTTGCCTAAGGTGACCGCTATAGACAGGGTGGTCTGTATAGACAGGTGAATGTAACACACTGATGATAACAGGGTTGCCTAAGGTGACCGCTATAGACAGGGTGGTCTGTATAGACAGGCAGCTGATAACAGGGTTGTCTAGAGTGGTCGCTATAGTCAGGGTGGTCTGTATAGACAGGTGTATGTATCACACTGCTGTTAACAGGGTTGCCTAGAGTGACCGCTATAGACAGGGTGGTCTGTATAGACAGGTGTATGTAACACACTGATGATAACAGGGTTGTCTAGAGTGGCCGCTATAGACAGGTGTATGTATCACACAGCAGATAACAGGGTTGTCTAGAATGGCCGCTATATACAGGGTGGTCTGTATAGACAGGTGGATGTATCACACAGTTGATAACAGGGTTGCCTAGAGTGACCGCTATAGACAGGGTGGTCTGTATAGACAGGTGGATGTATCACACAGCTGATAACAGGGTTGTCTAGAGTGGCCGCTATAGACAGAGTGGTCTGTTTAGACAGGTGGATGTAGCACACTGCTGATAACAGGGTTGTCTAGAGTGGCCGCTATAGACAGGTGTATGTATCGCACAGCTGATAACAGGGTTGTCTAGAGGGGGGCAGGGAGGCCACGTGTTCGCTGGCAGCCAATGGGCGCGCATTCTATCCGTGAGCTTCAGACATACAGACAAACAGACAGAATAAGGCAAATATATAAGTAGATACAAGAATGACATCCACGGCGCCAATTTATAATTGTAACGAATATTATTTGAATAAAAGCATTTAATCGGGTAAACCCCGGGCGTTGCCCGGCTCATTCGGCTAGTAAAGATATATGTACAATAAAATATTACAAAAGGAATGAAACTATAAAAAGGAATGATGATAATCTAAATATTCTGTTTCAAATAAAAATAAATAAATATATAATTTAAATTTTAAATATCTTAAAAATAATATTTCAAATAATTTTTAAAATACGCGCATTAATCATGTTGCAACAATATATATATGTTGTAAATAATTTTTTGGGTAATATTATATTCTACGCAATTTGTATATTTTTATTAATCTTTTAATTATTTATTTTCATAGATGAACTCTGTGACGCCGAGAACACCAGACGGCGCGGAAGTAAATCTAAATAGCATATATAGTTAGTTTTTTTTTAGTGTGAGCTGGGCAGTATGTAAATATTACTATCATTTTTTTTAAGTTTTGTTCTTTTCTCTTTTACTTTCTTCTGAGGTGCTCTACCTATTCAAGAGGCCTCAAGATACTATTAATAATTGTTTTGCTTAAAAACTGTGACGACTGTTGGTACAAAAATAAACCCGTCACTTAGTAAAAGTGTTTGATCTTTTTTCCCACAGAAGGCCGCGACTGCACCATTCCACTCCGTACCATTCTATTTTAGAATACCAATACTTCAATTTATCTTAAAAATATATAAGATACACACTATTATTGGCCAAATATGACACAAGATATAGTTAATTACATTAGGCATTGTGAAACCTGTCAGATAAATAAATCGAGAGATAATAGACCAATATATGGACCTTTACAAGCATTACCCACCGCCACAGAACCATATCATATTTTTTCCATAGATACCTTAGGGGGATTACATAAGTACGGATCATCCAAACATAGCATTCATTTAATAGTTGACCACCTATCTCGTTATTTATGGGCATTCCCTAGTAAATCCACCACAGTAGATTCATATATCACATGCTTGAAAACAATATTCCAAACCCATTCCCCAAAGTTAATAATCAGTGATAGAGCACCAGCATTTTTAAGTAGTAGATTTAAAAATTTTCTTAAGCAGCATAACGTTAAACATTTATTAACAAGCTCTCATAATCCACAAACAAATGCAAAAGTTGAAAGGTTGAATTCTACAATAGTTAATAGACTTAGATGCAAATATAATACGCATTCAAATATACCATGGACCAAGCACCTTCCAGATGTAGTAAAAGAATATAATTCAACCCCCCATACTATTACCGGATTTACCCCTATGTATTTTCTGCTAGGTATCCCTCCCTATGACACAACAACAGATTTAAATTTACAAACTTATCCACCCATAGAAGAATCCAGAAAGCAAGCAATTCAAAGAACCCACAAATCCCATGAAAACAGTAAAATAATTTACGATAAAACACACCCCATTCCAGATTTTAAAATAGGCGATCAGGTATTAGTTCAGACATTTTTCTACCCCAATACCGGAAAATTAACTAGTAAATATAATGGACCATATACAATACTAAAACAATTATCCCCAGTCACCTATGAAATTAACAGACCAAACCAACCTCAAAAGAAACAAACAGAAATCATACATGCAAACAAATTGAAACATTTTCATCCTTCAGACAACTTTAAAATAACACATCATATGCAAAGCAGTTCGACAAACAATCAAATTAACAAAAATGCAGATTTAATAACTTTTGATAGTGGTGAGCCCTATATAAACGATTGTGTTTCCATTTTGGATCAGGATAACCCTTCTTACCATAGTTCTAATTAATTAAAACCTGCTACAATTGAGAAAGATAAACAGTTGCTTATTGTCTTTTAACACATTTA